CAGGTACCTCCAGCCCCAAACCTTCCTCCTCTGGCTCCTGCCACGGTCCTGCCCACTGAGCGGGGGACGGCAGCCAGTGTGCAGGCAAGGTTGTAGAAAACCTGTTTATTTTATGAGAACATAAAATCTAGAAAAGAGCTGGGGTTGCAGGCCTTGGATCAAACAGGTCCCTTGGGGTGTTGCAGAGCTGTGCCACAGCCCCAGCCATGGGGGTCGATCCCCCAGCCCTCCTCCAGCACTGCAAACCCAGTGCTGGTACCAGCCAGAGCCGTGGCCTTCATAGGCTGGCTGCTTCCACAGGAACGTCTGGATGGAGTCACCAGGAGCTGTGGCCTCAATGAAGCCAACCCGTGGGTCAGAGATGCCGAAAGACAAATCCAGAGGTGAGCTGTGGGGATGTGAGAGGGGATGCAGGTTAGAGGGGACAGCTGGGCTTCCAGCCAGGGCAAGGGGCCAAGCCACTCACTGGTTCAGGACCACCAGGACGATGGCGCCGTCAGGGCGCAGGAAAGCTGAGTGCTCCAGGTTGCACTGGTGGCACTTCTTGGAGACAGCAAGTCCCACGCGCTGTGAGCCCTCGGGGATGAACTTGCTGCAGGGACAAGCAGGACCTGAGTGTGGTGCCTGGGACAGGCCTGGAGCCTTCCAGACCCCTCTGGGCCCTGACCCACCTGAAGTGTCCCATGTGGTAGAACATGGGCTGCTTGTAGAAGATGTCCTTACTGCTGTCCACGATGATGGGGCTGTCCACATAGTTCTTGCTCCAGTTGGGGCCCCCCTCCATATCCAGGGCCAGGTTCCAGTCAGTCCAGCCCGTCACGTAGTTGTTGAGGTTCTGTGGGGCAGGTGGTGGCACTGAGCTGCAGGTGGGTGCAGGGTTTGGCTGGCCCATCTGCAGTCCCCACCAAGCCCTACCGACAGGATGCTGTGGCTGTACTTGCTCCCACGGTCCCAGCCGCCCAGCACCACCCTGGGCTCCCAGAAGTAGGAGCCAGTGGAGGCTTCCGTGGAGAGGAGGAAATAGTCTGGGAAGAGGTGATGGGTGATGGAGAGTGTGAGGTCGATGGGTGCCAGGAAGTCCAAGTACCAGTGGATGCCAATGCCGCTGATGTAGCTGGAGGCCACGGGGTCTTTGAGAACCTGCAAGAGAAAGGAGTCACTGCCCACACAAGAGCCCAGGGTTGGGCAGAGTCACCATGGGGCTGGGAGAGCTGCCATGGGGCTAGAAGAACCACTGTGGGGCCAGGAGAGCTGCCATGGGTACTCACCACCTGGGCCCAGTAGGGCAGCATCACCCTCTGGTCATCCAGGATGATGAGCTGGACGTTGCGGTGGGAGCTGTTGGCCAGTGCAGGGCCCAGGTCCCGTGCGATGAAGTCCCTTTGGTGCTCAGGGGAGAAGCCCAGGCACTGGAAGGGGTAGAAGATGATCTCACCAGCCGTGGGTTCATTCCCTGCTGTCACTGCCCAGAAGGTCAGGTTGTATTTGGCATATTCGTCCAGGAACCTGGGAGCAGGGCAGAGCATGAGCAGCTCCATTGTGGCGGCACCAGCCCTGGGCATGGTGACCCCGGTGCCCACCGTCCTCCTGCAGCCCCTCACCGGATGAAGTACTTGGCCCAGGCCTGGTGGTACTTGTCCCCAGGGCTGCCTTTCAGTGTTCCCCTCCCTGTCATTGCACCATTCGTTTTCATCCAGACTGGGGAGGTCCAGGGGCTGGCGTACAGTGACACTGGCCGCTTGGCCATTGCCTGGGCTGCCTGGAGGATGGGGATCTGGGGAGAAGCAGGATGGCAGTGAGCTCTCCAGGTCTGCCCCAGCACTGGCATCACATGCTGCAGGACAAATCCTCACCCACCTCCTCACTGGAAACGTGCTCCCCTTCCTCATCCCATCGCATCCCATGCCACCCAGGTTGCAGCCCTAACACCTCTGGCTCACCTTCATCCTTGTGTCCTCCTTGGTCAGGTTGAAGTGCTTCATCTCAAAGTCTCCCTCCGCATCAGCGTAGGTGTAGAGGCGCACAGAGAAGTCAGTGCTGGCCATGGGGACGCGCACAAGGTTATACTCAATGCCTGGGGACAGGGTGGGTGGTGACGGGCAACCCTGGGGTGGATTTGGGGTATACAGCCCCCCACCTTCCAGCAGCCTTCTAGCCCCTCGGCACAAGTCTCAGCAGCCAGACCCTGAGCCGGGGGTGCTGGACAGACCAGCCCCAGCACCCAGTGGCATTGCCCTGCCCCAGACTCACCTTCCTCAGAGAAGTAGGAGCGGAGCAGGTTGTTCTGGGCATCCTGGGACAAGGACTGGATGTTGATGGCAGCTGAGTCCGTGACAGAGCCACCAAAGCCCTTCACCTTCTGGTACCGTTGCGCCGTGTCCAGGGTGAGATGGAAATCTGAGGAGAGGACAAGCAGCATCGCAGCTGCTGCACAGGGACGGCTCTGCCCCCTGGTGCCACGCAGATGCCCCCGCAGGGGTACCTGGGCTCTCGGCGTTGCGCTGGAAGCTGCCCTGGCTGCGCTCCAGCCGCTTCCCGGCCTTGCTGCTCTCGTACTTGACGTAGGTGCCCGGGGCCGGCAGGACGACGGGGTCCAGCGTGTCGCAGTACGTGGCGCTGCAGACACACACCAGTGAGCCATGTCCGAAGTCCCTGGCATCGCAGGGATGGCCACCTGCACAGGAGAGACCAGGCTGGCACAGAGGGCTGCAGCAGGAGCTTGGCCCACCCCTTTGACCCGTCATGGACACCGAACCCACAGCTTTGCCACCCCGAACCACTCAACCCTACAGGCCTCTCCTTGGGAACACGGCACCAGCACTTACCTGCTGCCCATGATGCTGCCTGTGCCAGCAGGAGCCAGCCCAGGACGCTGGCACAGCCCGTGGTGTGTCCCATGGCACTCCCGCTGCAGCGTGGCGGCAAACACTGGGGCTGGGAGAGGGGCAGTGGTGTCAGCAACCAGCTCCTCTCACCCCCTCCCAGCCCTGCAGACCCAGGACAGAGACAGCCCCAGCATCACCCTGCCTGAGAGCCTCAGGGAGCACTGGCACCCCCCTGCCACCCTCTCTGCTCCCCATAACCCCAGCACAGTGCTCGCATGCTGCCAGTGCCCACATACGGCTCTGGCAGTATTCCAGCCAGGGGTGCAGCCCCCAGGTGTGTGCTGCCCTGTGCCCACCAGCCAGGTGTTCCCACCACCCACACTGGCAGCTCAGCTCATTCCCATTGCTTCCCTCCCGCTCCTTCTCCCTGATCATCCTGCAGCTGTGCCATGCCCTGTCATGCCATGCTGTGCCACTCCACATGACGCCGGTGAGTCCCAAGCTGTGGCTGGGAGCAAAAAACTCCACGCTCCCAAGCCTTGGAGGATAGTGGGCAGGAGCAGTTTGAGGTCCAATCTGGGGCACAGAAGGGTCCCCCCTGCTCCCAACCTGCCCCGTC